GAAGAAGAAGGTCTCTGTGTAGAGTGCATAGTGGGCCATCTCTGCACTCTGGTTTTACTGTATAAACTGGGAGATCTTCAGCACACTTCACCACTACAAATACATCTTGTTCCCATTTATCACAGAGTTTATGTTTACCTCTGAGTCTCACATTCCGCACAAGTACTCTGTCACCAACTTCCAGCTTGGATGGTAGAACCCGCTGATCGAACCGAGTCTTGTTTCTTTTAGCACTTCTGGCAGAGTTTTTTTGATGCTATCTGATAACTCTCTTTCAACCGTGACTTCAGGTTCTGTACATACTGCGAATGTGATGGACATTCCTCTTCATAGACAGGAAAACCAAAAGCAAGATCAATCGGGAGTTGAGGACAGCATCCAAACATAAGTTCATAAGGACTATATCCTGTCACTTAATTTCTGGTACAATTGTATGCATGAACGAGAGGTTTAACATATTCTTTCCATTATGACTTCTGTTTTGGTTCAAGAGTTCCTAACATTGCTAGCAGTGTACAATTAAACCTTTCTACAGGGTTTCCTCTGGGATGGGATGGTGTTGTATGACACTTCTGAATTCCTGTCATAGCACACAGCTCTTTTATCAGTTTGGACTCAAAATCAGAACCTTGATCTGTATGTAGTCTTTKTGGTTTTCCAAAATACATAGTGAAATTGTCCAAAAGACATTTGGCGACCATTCTTGCCATTTGATTTGGTGTTGGAATGGCAATGGCAAACTTAGTGAAATGATCTGTCAGCACAAGAATGTCTTTGGTATTGCTGGTATCAGGCTTAAGACTGAGGAAATCCATACAAATGAGTTCCAATGGACATGAAGTCCAAATGTTGACTAGTGGAGCAGCCCTCTCTGCCAGAGTCTTTCGACGAACACAACGTCCACATGCTTTTATTTTCTGCTACACATACATAGCCATTCTAGGTCAATAGAATCGAGCTCTAACAAGATCCAGGGTTCGCTCTATTCCCGGGTGGTCCATGTCATTATGAAGACTATGAAGAACAGATTCACGGAGGTCTGCTGGAAGGACCAGTTGGTATATATGTTGCTCATTTTCTTGCCGTTTTCTGTAAAGAATGCCATCAATCATCTCCAGTTTAGTTAATTCTCTAAGGAGAAAATGAAGTTCTGGAAGTTCARTCCTGACTGTTGGGGGGATTTTTTCACCTAACTCCAACTGATGGATAACCTCCCTGACACTAGGATCAGCTCTCTGATGGTCTTTTAGGTCAGCATGAGACATTGCAGGAACAACAGGAAGTCCATGTGCATCTTCAGAGTAGTCCACATGAATTATATCTGCCCTGACTGAGAGCGATTCAACCAAAAGGCTTCCAACTTGGGTCCGAACCAGACGACTTTGGAAAATTGCATCCATTACTTCAGGTAATATCTCATTGTTGCTGTTGTCTYAAAGATGTTGTTGAGCAAACTGAGAGATAAGTTCCTGATCTTTATGTGCAACCTCATCTWTGACAGGATTTTCACAGGGATGATGGGACAGTGCATCAGCATCCTGGTTGTGTTTCCCTGCTCGATACTGCAACTTAAAGGAGAAGGTAGAAAGTGCAGCCAGGATGCTGATGCACTGTCCACATACGCAATAATGTTTTTGAATAAATTCCCAAAAATGAACATAAAACTCTACAGATAATCCATCAATACCTGGTGATTTTCCTTTTTCATTGAGAACAGAGCATTTTGGATATCTATAGCTGAAAGGTCAGAATCACAACTAGATTTAAATTCATTGTCAATCAAGGGTACATTAGGACAGATATTTTGTAAAAAAAAAAAAAATCGGCACAGTTCCTTGAATTAAAATTAGATATAGTTTTTCATAAAATTCAGAGACTGACTTACTGATCAAAATCTGGGCTTGTAAAAAGCAAACCATTAATATTAAGAGCTGTTAAGGATTTTCTTTTAGCWTTTCTTTTCTCTAGAGCAAAAAAATAAGTAATTCCTTTCACGTTCCTCTATCCGTTTGGCTCTAGATCTAATAAATGAACCTTTTGTCAAGTTTAAATACAATTGATCTAAATTTAATAGGATATTATTTATTTTGAGCACTTCATCTGAAGTTGTTCTTTTGACATTAGTTTGTTAAGTTTGTGTATTAAATCATTTTCTAGTCTATGATTTTCATTCTTTACTTCTTTACGTATTTTAATAGCAGCAATTCTGACTTTATATTTGAATAGTTCCCATTTATTCCTGTAGTGTTCATTTACACCATCTTTGAGAATTTCTTCTACAAGGTCTTTAACTGTGTTATTGAAAGATGAATCTTTTAAAAGAGAGTTGTTCAATTTCCAATAACCTCTTATACCAAAGGATTTCTGGATAGCAGCTAATTTCAAACTAATCAAATTATGATAAGTTAAGGTGCATTTAGGTGGTTAATGTCTTTTACATATTGTAAGGAAGAGGATGGAATTAGAAATAAGTCAATTCTAGATTTTAGAGAATGATTATTATTACATCATGTGTATTCCATAATAGAGGGGTTGAAAAAAATGCCAATCATCAGTCAAGGACAGTATCGGGATAACAGAGGAGTCAACGTGAGCAAATACTGGGAGACAAACTGAGGCAGAGACTGAGATGAAAAAATAAATGTTTTATTTTTAAACAGGAGCAGGGGAGGGAGTGGGACCTGAAAACGGAGAAGTTGCAAAGGTGAATGAACAGGCAGGTGAATCCAGGAAGTATGATTTGATAGAAAAATGTTTTCTTGCTTACAGGTGAGGGCTTTAGATGAAGCGCTGAGGAGCAGGTCAGTTCCAAGGTGAATATTTACTGGTGAGTATTTATTTACAGGTATGTTGGAGGCGAAGCGGCAGCGCATGGACAGGTGAGTGGCTCAAGAATAGGCAGGCTGATGTGACCGAGATCGTAATGTTATGCATATAACTACTGTTCCCTGAAGGAAAGGAACGAGGTACAACATCATGTATGGGAACCACGCCCCTGCGTGTCCTGGCTGAAGCCACCTCTAATCACGCCTTTAGGCAGGTGACGTGATGACGACAGATGTCAGGCTCCGCCTGCACATATAAATATTGTCGCATCACCGTCACTCCTCAGTTCTACCCCTCTTCACCGAGCCCAGCTGTGCAGCGGGGCCACCATGTGTTGTACC